TGACACCAAAGTGTCCCATTAGTCCACCACTATGTGACTCCTGAATAAGTAAGGTACGTATGGACCCTCGAGGAATGCACAACTTGGTAAGATAAAATAAGAACCCATCATGTACGAAGAATTTTTCAAAGTCAGATTTTCCCCAATTCGCATAAGCGTTCGCAAAATCCAAGTCATTCTTATACAACTCCTTCATGAGTTCAAAGCCTAGGAGTTTAGCATCTAAAGCAGTGAGCAAAATGTGTCTACGAGATAAAGCGTCAGCTACGACATTAGATTTACCTGTTTTGTATTTGATGACGTATGGAAAAGACTCAATGAAGGCTACCCATCGGGCATGTCGTTTGCTCAGCTTTTGTTGTCCTTTTAGGTGCTTGAGAGACTCATGGTCAGTTTTGATGACGAATTCCCGTGCACGTAGGTAGTGTTGCCATGTCTCCAAAGCACGTACAAGGGCAAACATCTCCTTGTCATAAGTTGAATAGTTGAGGACCGCGCCATTTAATTTCTCACTAAAGTAGGCAATCGGTCTCCCTCCTTGCATGAGTACGGCTCCTACTCCTACACCTGATGCATCACATTCCACTTCAAAAGTGAGATCAAAGTTAGGTATTGCAAGGAGTGGTGCATGTGTGAGTTTGTGTTTCAGCAATTGGAAAGCCTTATCTTGGGCTTCCCCCCAAAAGAACTTCTCGTTCTTCTTTATGACTGCGGTAAGAGGTGCAGCGATGGTGCTAAAATCCTTCACAAAACGACGGTAGAAGCTTGCTAATCCATGAAAGCTGCGCACATCACTTACTGAGGTAGGTGTTGGCCACTCTTGGATGGACTTAATCTTCTCTTCATCTACGTGAATGCCCTGCGCACTTACAACATATCCTAGAAACACAACACGATCAGTGCAAAATGTGCACTTCTTAAGGTTGGCATATAGCCTTTCCCTTCGAAGTACTTCAAAGATGGCTTTGAGGTGCTCAAGGTGTTCCTCTAAGCTTCTGCTATAAATCAGAATATCATCAAAGTAAACCACTACAAATTTCCCAAGAAAAGGTCTCAAAACATGGTTCATTAAACGCATGAAGGTACTAGGTGCATTAGTTAAACCAAATGGCATTACTAACCACTCGTATAGACCATGTTTAGTTTTGAAAGCGGTTTTCCACTCATCTCCCTCTTTCATTCTTATTTGGTGGTAACCACTTTTCAAATCAATTTTAGTAAATATAATGGCACCATGCAATTCATCTAACATATCATCTAACCTAGGGATAGGGTGACGATATTTTACCGTGATTGCATTGACTGCTCGACAGTCGGTGCACATTCTCCACGCTCCATCTTTCTTTGGCACGAGAATCACTGGTACAGCTCATGGACTTAGACTTTCTCTAGCCCAACCTTTCCTTAGCAATTCCTCCACTTGCCTTTGCAATTCCTTTGTTTCCTCAGGACCCATTCTATAGGCTGGTTTGTTAGGCAATGGTGCTCCAGGAATGAGATCGATTTGGTGCTCGATTCCCCTTAGTGGTGGTAGTCCATCAGGTACATCCTCAGGAAATATGTCCTCAAATTCCTGCAAGAGAGGTAAAATAGTAGAAGGCAAGGAGTCAGTGGATATGGATGAAGTGACCAACTCTTCTTTGCACACAAGCATAAGTAAGAGTTGGTTGGAAGACAAAGCTCGCCTTACATCTTTGGCTTTTGCTAGCAAGCTTAGCTTCCCCTTATTTTCTTCTCTCATAGCCGACCCACTTGTTGCCTTTTTCTTCCCTAGGGGTTCGGCCCTTCTCTCTCCTTTTTCTTCCTCACTTTTCTCTCGCTTTTTCCTCTCAAGTTCTAGCTCATACTCCTTTTGGAGCCTTATTTGATCTTCATACACTTGTTTTGGGGTGAGAGGTACAAGTGTCACCTTTCTATTGCAATGAGTAAAGACATATTTATTAGCTCTTCCCTTGAATTCGACATCGCGATCATATTGCCAAGGCCGTCCAAGAATGAGGTGACTTGCTTGCATTGGCACGACATCACAAGTAATCTCGTCTTCATACTTGCCAATTCGGAATGGCACTTTCACTTGTCTAAACACACGTATTTCCCCTTCATTGTTCAACCATTGAAGGCGATAAGGTCTTGGATGTTTGATAACTTGGAGCCCTAGCATTTCTACCATGAGTAGACTAGCGACATTGGCACAACTCCCACTATCAATAACAACACTACACACCTTATCCTTGATATGACACCTTGTGTAGAAAAGGTTGTCCCGTTGTACCTCCATTTCCTCCTCTTTGGCGCGAGTAGTGAGGACCTTTCGAACCACTAGGCATCCAATCTCCTCATGCGTAGGTATCTCCTCACTCGATTCATTCTCTTCCTCTTCTAGAGGCGGTATCCCCTCGTACTCCTTTTCCTCATCTGATACAATTTCCCCATTTGGCAACACCAACATGGTCCTTTGGCTGGGGCATTGAGAAGCGATGTGGCCAAATCCTTGACACTTAAAGCACTTGGTGTCTCGGCCACGTGGTTTGGAAGCTGCATTATTAGCCTTAAAGTCAGGCTTGGGCGTCGCCTTGGAAAGGAGGCCATTCGGCCTTGGAGGGTAAGAAGGAGCTGCGGCCTTCTCCTCCCTTTTTGGTTGAGAAGTGCGCCAATTTCCAGCTTGATAAGTAGTGCTTTGTCGTGCAGTACCCCTCCTCTTGAGGCGCCGTTCAATTGTAACCGCCTTCTCTAGCATTTCATTCATGTCGAGGTAGTGTTGGAGTTCCACTACTTCAGCAATCTCGGGCCTCAATCCATGTAGAAAACGAGCCATCGTGGCCTCTCCATCTTCACGCAAATCCACCTTCATGATGGCCATTTCCATCTCCTTGTAATAATCCTCAACTGACATGGACCCTTGGTTGAGAGCTTGTAGCCGACGGTGTAGATCTCGGCTATAGTAGCTCGGAACGAACCTTTTTCTCATCAGACTCCTCATTTCCTCCCAAGTTTCCACAGGTCTCTCACGATTTCTCCTTCGGCTTAGTCTAAGTTGGTCCCACCAAATGGAGGCGTAGTCAGTGAATTCTACGGCTGCTAGTTTCACCTTTTGCTCCTCCGTATAGGTGTGGCATTCATAGACTAACTCAATTTTTCGTTCCCATTCCAAGTACGCCTCGGGATCCGACTTGCCTTGGAATGAGGGAATCTTGAGTTTGACACCTTTAATGGTGTCGTCTCCTCGACGTTGGAACCTTTGATCATTTTGGTACCTTCCCTCAAATGCTTCCTCTTCATCGTTTGAGTATGCCGATTCTTTGCCCTTACTCGGGGTAGGTGGAGGTCTCGAGTTCTCCAACTGATCAATTCGATCATGCAATGGCTCAATTTCATTCTTAAGCAATCGTTTGAACTCCCTCATCATGGCTTCCAACTGTAATTTGATGTCCATGGTTTGTTCACCAACTCCACTAGACATATTTAGTCCACCTGCAAAACAAATAAACAAAACGAGTTCCTCTCTCTCTTTTTTTTTTCTTTTTTTTTTAATACGATGTATAGGTCACTCACACTCGTGTTTCACTCAAGTGTATCACTCTCTAATAATCTTACCAAGCAATTCCTTGGCTTGCTTGTTGCTCGAGTTGAACAAACCAGGCGTCACCGCAGTGTACGTTCTTGACTAGTCAACAAGTGACACACAAGCTAGTAGCAATAAATGGAGTTGAATGACTGAAGACCTAGACACGACTCAAGACTTAGAATATAGTGGACAATAACTAACGACGCAAAAGAAAGTAAGACAATTAACTTGAATGCTGAAATTTTGAAAATCCTAGAAAACTCTACCCGAAACCCAATTTTCTGGAATTTGTTGAGCTGCTGGTCCGTGGTCTTTTTGGTAAGGGTTTTGGAGTATTTTGGGTGGCCTTATGCTGCTCAAATAATGGGCAATCTACTACCTAAAACTCAGCCCAATCGGGTGTCACAATTGCTCCAACGGTTTTAGGAAAATTCAAGAATTCAAGATTCGGAAATTGGAAAGTTTGATCTGATTTGGACACTTGGGGTTGTCAAGGATTGGAAACCTTGGAGTTTGGTCAGATTTGGGAGTCCCAAGTGGTTCAAATTCGAAATTTTGGGGCTGGTCAGATTTTGCAAGTCAGATTTTGCACCAAATTTGGTAAACTTGTAGGCTGTCAAGAATTGGAGGTTGTTCAGATTCGGAAGTCCAAGTTTGAATCAGATTTGGTGGCTTGAAGGTTGACCAAGACTAGGGCTGTTCAGATTTGGAAGTCCAAGTTTGAATCAGATTTGGAATTCCAAGTTTGAATCAAATTCGGTGGCTTGAAGGCTGACCAAGACTAGGGGCTGTTCAGATTTGGAAGTCCAAGTTTGAATCAGATTTGGTAAAACTTGAAGGCTGGTCAAGAATTGGAGTGATACTAGATGCAAATCTCTTTTCCATGTGGACTTTTTGTAATTTCTATGCCATAGTTTCCTTTCTTGAAAGAATTAGAAATCCACTCCTGAGTCCTGACAATCAATTCCATCATTAGGCTATCTATGCATCTTTTGAACCTTTAATATATCGGGAATTTTTTTTTTGGACAATCAGTTAAAAACTTCCAGAGACATTTTACTCTGGGAAGGTACCACTGACGGCGGTCATTTACCTGATTTTGGAGCATCACACAGTACAATTTTGCTTGCTGTTAGTTGATTTTCTTTGGGAACACCATTCTTAATAGTAGTAAAACTGTAAAATTGTCCAACTGTTGAAATTCTTATATGGCTCTAAAATTATATGCTCTAAAAAACTAATTTTAACGATTTTTTTGTATGATGCATATCTTTCTATTTATGAATTTAACAAACATAATTTAAGATACAAAACTTTTCAGATGTGATTCTTTGTGCCATTCTTTTTCTTTTTCAAGTAATAGGGCTATATTCTCTAGCTTGGCATTTTCCCCTCATCTGTTTAAGTGATTTATGGTTTCATTTTTATTGTCAGGTCTCTATTCCGTATGGTAGTCCAACAGAATTCTCAATAATTGATGGTCAGGGAATTGAGCGCCTCTTGAGGTCAGAAAACAGTTCAAACGATATAAGCAGGTGCGTTATCAATTATTTGGATGATAGCCGCCGTTGTGTGAGAATGGGTAGCTACTTACTTGAAAGATAAAGATGTAATTACCACCTGAAGTATCTTGTAGGACTAGAAATGTCTAATTACTACATTGGATGTAATCAGCAGATGAAATTTTGCTAATTTATCTGAAAATTCTTGTGCAACTAAATGATGGATTGAATTCTTTTTCAAATTTAAAGTGGTTAAAAGGTATCGGGAGGAATGGGTTCATGTATGTGATCCAACCTTTGAAATTTTGCATCTGCTTCTGTTTTGCAGTTCAAGGGATACCATTGTCCTCATCCTGAGATTATTTGTCATAAGGGTATGGCTTCTTAACTTGCCACTTTTTAATTTAAGGTTGATTGTTTTAAGTTCTTTCTTCTTAAGTAGCATCAATTTGTACCCAAAAATTACTTTTCTATTCCTTACGCCCCATTGGCTATAAATGTTGACACAAAAATGTATCAATTACCCAGAAAGTTGTCGGGAAAGTTGCAAATGATTTTCTTTAACTTTGAGTATAGTTCTTCTTCGATGTTAACTTCTTGTAATTAACCCCTCTAATATTCGCAAATTGAGGAGTGAAAGTGATGAAACGGCCATAAGTTAGTTGGATAAGTATTTGTCATCTCTGAAGCTTAAGGAGAAATCTAAGGGATCACTTACAAGAAAGAAGAAATTCTAATCTTAAGGGAGCTGTCTGTGGTGATGCCTAGGGTCTTGAGATGGTTCAAGTGTCCTAGCCAATTATATCTCGAAGTTTAATGCTTTTCAGAATATGATGTCTTAAGTGGAAATTTTGGCCTTTTGTTTGGTTGCCAGAGATTTTTGGTTATCATGGAGTCTTTCTGAGTTATTTGATTTTATTAGGAAACTAGTTGGAGTTGTCATTGGAAAGTTCTAGAACAGTTTTACTAGTCTTCTGCTTACGTATTATATTAGGAAATAGGAATTCTTTTTATCTCTTTTTTTTAATGAAAAGTTTTACAGGTCTTTGTTTAGTAGTTTTGTTTTTTTCCCTCAAGATTTCCCTAGTCCCCGTCTTCTTGCCCTCTTCTTTCCCTGGTTACTGTTCCCCATTACTGCTTATGGCCTGGAAACAATCTCAACTTCCTCCAAAACCTCCTCGGCTAGTGCTAGCAGGCGAGATGAGTCGTATTTTGTCCTACATCTAGAACTTGTATGCAGCATTTTTTTAAAAAAAATATTCGTTAACCATGGATGACAATATAATTGTAGCTTCTTTGACACATGAACTAGAAATACATTTGGTTGTTTCTTAAAGTAGTTCTTTGTTTTTGCAAATACTGCTGTAATTGAGTGGTTAAAAATGGTAATCTTGAAATGATTGAGGAATCGATAATTTTGGAAATTGGTATCGTCAAATAAATATAAATCTGGAATTTTGTAAACACAATACGTACTGGTCTTGAGAAAGGCGTTTGGCATAATTATCAAAACGTGGGGAATAAACAAGGGCTTTTATTGCTCTGTTGTGGTATAGTGTCACCTGATGAAGGATTTTTGTAGTTTGATTATTTTGGTTGACACACGCTTAGAAAGTGCGCTCGTAGATGGATCAAATTCTATGCTTGTTTGTGAAATGTTGTGCAGTGCTAGTTCCCAAGTCCCTTACCTGTTTTGCAAAAAGAGGGGCCTCTAAAATTTATCCCTTTCTAACCTGGTCTTGCAGGCTATTGAAAGGAAGAAAGGTAAAAAGAGAGGTCTCTTCTTCAAGTAAAGGAGTATTGTTCCTCCGTTGGGGCAGATGTGTGATAGAGCATTCTAAATTATTGGTTGGAGAGATGGTGATATATCAAATTGTAATCGTATATAGCATCTTTGAGCTAGACTTTGTAGTTTAATTTTCACAACTTTTGGAATACCTCTGGGTCTATGTATAAAGCCTATCAAATTTTGGCCCATGAGTCTACTCTTCAAGATTTCATTGTTCTCCTTAGAAAGAAGATCCCTTTCCCTCTCTGGCAAAGTAGATTGACAAATTCTGAACCGTTCGCCATAAAAAAAGGCATATTGTACTTAAACTAAAATGACTTGGACATCAAGAGAATAACATGTGACTTAGGTTTATGAGTTGATTGATTGATCTCCAGATAAATAGTCCATAAATACATTGTTGAAAAACTGTTGGGGTTAATAATCGAGATCTCTGACAGCTAGGTTTGAAAGTAGATTAAAAAAAAAAAGACGTTTTGGTGGCCTCTGGAATAAGAGAATGTATCCGAACTAGATGAGTTGTTTTTTAAGTAAATATGGTTACAAATGATTGAAGTTGTTTTTCAAAATAGAAAAGGAATTCCTTTTTAATTGTTTTATAAGTAAATATGGTTACAAATGAACAGTAACTGTTGCCTTTTGCTCCTGAATTCTAAGACTCATCAATCACTTTTCCCCTGTAGATTCACACCGATTTCATTTCTGTCGATGGCTTAAAAGACTGAATTTTGTTGTGGCAAAATTGACTAAAGGGGGTAGAACGTACAAGCCCTTTACCTTCTTCTCTTGGCCATAGTTAATTGTGAATACTGGTGCTTGGAAAAGTCAGTGGTTTAATTTTGATTCAAAAGCAAATATCAAATTGGGGTATCTGTTAATGATCTCTCTATTTTGGGTTTAGCTGAAACTAGGACAGAATTCCCAAAATTGAGAAAATCTTAAAAACATGAATAATCGATAGGCTTATGCCACAATAACAATAGTTAACACCACTCCAATGTTAGGATTTTTGTTTTTCGGGATTCTTGCAAGGTAGATGTCCAAATTATCACATCTCTGATTAACTCTTAAGGCTTCTCTAAAAGCTTCTTCAAAATATCTTTTTTGTAGGAGAAAATTAGACTCCCTGAAACTTGTTCTTTAAAGAGAGCTTACATTTAAATTCAACTATGACTTAAGAAGTGGTGGAGAACTCTTGGAGATTTTATCTTTTATCATTTTTAGCGAAGGAAAGTGTTTGAGGCAAACAAATACACCCTTATTATTATTATTACTCCCTCCGTCCCACTTTGATAGTTCTGTATTCCTTTTTTATCTGTTCCAAATTGTAGTCCACTTTCCAATTGAAGAATGTAGTTGTATTTTAATTTTTTCCTAAAATACCCTTATTCAATGTAAGTAATTGTTACTATAAACCTACCCCATTTAATGAGAGTTGATTCTTTTTTTACTATCAATTCAAATTCCCATAAAGTTGTACCATATTTAATGTGAGGGTATTTTAGAAAAATAGCAATCTAAATTTACTTTTCCAACAAAGTTAACTACTTTTTCTTAAACTGTGTGAAAAAACAAATAGGACTGTCAAAGTGGGACGGAGGGAGTATTTGGCTTTTCAATTGTTCGGCTCATGTAGAGTGGATCTCAATCGCAAGTATTAGGTACATTTGGAACAAGAAGCAAAAGGGCATCTAAAGGACTTCTGGTAAACCTGATAGGACCTTTGTGAACCATGTTTGGTTTACCGTTTTTGACAATTCCAATGCTTATTTTCAACCTCATGACATTTTTATCAGACTTTTTCGGTGGCATCAATGAAAACTAAGATATTAAGATTTTTCAACCACTAGGTTGAAGATAAAAAGCTTTTTTAAATGTTATGTTAGAAGAGTGGGATAGTGTAATTGAAAGTAACCATATGTTTATGTTTATTCAAAAACCGAAAACAAAAAAGGCCAAAGTTAAAACAGAGAGACCTTTAGAATTAGTCAAATCAAAATCAACAAGTTACCACATAAGTTTGCTTCTATTCAACGCTTTTTGATAATCCACTAGATGTTGACTTGTAGCTTCAAGAATGTTCCACTATGGTGGAGCTTAACAACTTGTTGGCAAGACAAGAGGTTGAAGTTCAACAAAAGCCAAAAAACCTTTGGGTTCAACTTGGAGATATTGGTAATAATGGTTTCTTCCCTACGTCCTAGGTTATTTTTGGAAGTATAAATAAAATTTTTAGTTTGAACATTGAGTTGTTGGTTTAGAGACTCAAAATTAATCTAAATGCTCACTTATTAGCGAATACATTCTGTACTTACTCAAAAGGATTATGTCTTTTTTTTAAAAAAAAAATCTACAAAGAAGCGACAGGATTTAAGATTGGAAAGGGGAATTATGCCATTTTATAATTTATTTCAGTTCAATTAGACCCAAGTCCTGGTGTTTAGATTAATATGGAGCTAAACTCGTGCTTAAAAAATTCAGGTGCTCGATTGAGTTTGATGGCAAGCCGTAGAATTGGAGTTAGAGTTATGTAAATGCAACTTAAGCTCAACGATCAATGCTTAACTTCATTAGGTTCATTTGCAATTTAAGTCATCCTGTTGAATAAACAAAATAAAATACTATTGAGTAATTAATCAATTAGTTAGTTGGCAAGTTAAGTTAATGAATTTGTTCAAATTAATAAGTTAGTTGAACGGAGTACTCACAACTATAAAAGAGCCTCATTATTTCCAAAATGAAAAAGAGAGAAAGAAATGAATGAATGAATCTTGACTCCAAATATTCTTCTCAATTCTTGGCTAGTATCCAGTAAAATTGGTACCATGGCTAAGGAACTCATCTCCTAAAATCAGAAAAATTTGAATATTTTTTCGACTACACAAAATGGCCAATAATATTATTGGTGGTCCTCCAATTCCCATATTCTCCATTGAGCACTATGACCACTGGTACGTGAAAATAAGAAAAAATTTTAGACCACAAGAGTTGTGGTAATATGTAGATAATGGTTACAAAAAATCCAAAGGTGAAGAAGGTCTCACCAATCAAGAGCTAAAGATACTTAAGGAACATGGGAAGAAGGATGCAAAAACTCTTTCATACATCTAGTAATTTGTGAGTAGGGATATCTTTTCAATAATCATGAGACTCGAACAAGCCAAAGAAGCATGGGAGATTCTACAAAAGGAGTTCCAAGGGAATCTTAAAGTAAAGAATGTTACTCTACAAACTCTTAGAAGAGATCTTGAAAATTTGAAGATGGGTTACTATACAAGGATTACCAAAATTGTAAATGAAATGAAGACATTTGGTGAAGAAATTAATGACAACAGATTGGTTGAGAAGATTCTTTTAGTTTACCCCCAAAATTTGATCCATTGGTGTTCAAAATTGAAAAGACAAAAGGTATTTCTTCAATAAGTGTTCAAGAGTTGATGGGATCCTTGAAAGCTCTTAAGTGAAGGATGGTAGACATGCTGAAAAATCTATCGAAAATGCTTTCCAAATAAAGCTGAATTTTAGCCCCAGCACCAATAAAGGAGAGCATCTTGTAGCTACTAAAGAGGTGAAGACTCACAAAGAGGTGGTAGATATAGCCCTAGAAGATGTAGAGGCAAAAATTCAAGAGGAAAAGGAAGTAACAACATTCAAACATTCAAAGAGCTTTTAGTGTAAAAAATTCACTATCTTACAGCTATTCTGGGAAGAAAAATCATCTTAAAAAAGACTGTTGGCACAAAAATAAATTAAAATGCTATAATTGCAGAGATTTGGCTGTATCAAGAAGGATTACATATTTACGACCAATCAACAAGCACAATTTTTAAAAGAGAGGCAAGGTGAAAGAAACTTATTCTATGCTCGTCATATGGCCTCAGAAATCAAGAATGATGTGTGGTACCTTGACAATGGCTATAGCAATCACAAGACAAGTGATAAATTCATTTTTGTTGACTTGGATGAATTTGTAAAGATTGAAATGAAGATCGAAAATGAATTCATAGCTCAAGCACAAGGATTGGAACACATTGGAGTCCAAACAAATAAGGTACAAAGTTTATTCATGACTTTTTATTTGTTCCTGATTTAGAACAAAAATTGATTGAGTCTTGGATAGTTTTTTGAGCATAAATATGCAATTAACTTTGTTAATTATGAATGTTCTATCTATGACAAAAAGGATGGTAGACAGCTTGTTATGAAAATACAAATGCAAACCAACCGAAATTTTTTGGTCAACTTCAATTATAGTAGAAATCAAGTCTTAAAAGCACATGTGAATGAAGATTCATGGTTGTGGCATAAGAGATTTGTCATTTGAATTTTCATAGCTTTAAGGTGTTTCAACAAAAGGGGATGACACATGGCTTACTAAGGATTGAGGAAAAGCATGAAGTTTGCGAAGGTTGTGCACTTAGAGAACAACATGGGCAACCATTTCCTAAAGTAGTTACATGGTGAGCCAAGAAGATTTTGGCGTTGGTCATACGAGTGTTTGTGGACTTATGAGAACAACTTCTCATAGAGGTAATAAGTATTTCATCCTTTTTATTGATGATTTTTCAAGAATGATTTGAGTTTATTTCATGAAAGAAAAATCTGAAGTATTTTCAATTTTTAAGAAGTCCAAAAGCCTTGTTGAAAAACAAAAGTGGCCATTGCATTAAGATGTTGAGGAGTGATCGTGGCAGGGAATATACCTCAAATGCATTCCAAGAATTTTGCGAAGATGAAAACTTGGAAAAGTAGCTGACCGTTGGTTGCGCAATTGAAAAGAAAGAACCAAACCGTGATCGAGGCGAAATCTATGTTGCGTGCTGAAAACTAGCCAAAGAAAATTTGGATTGAAGCTATTTATACAACTATATATTTGCTCAATAGAAGTCCTACAAAGACCATGTGGAATCAAACTCCAATTGAAGCATAGAGTGGAATGAAGCCTTTGGTGAAACACTTGAAAGATTTTGGAAGCATTTGCTACGCTCAAATTCCAAACGAAAAGAGTACAAGCTTGATGAAGTGGAAAATGTATTTTTTGTTGATTATAGTTCCTAGTCTAAAGGTTATAGAATGTTTGATTTGAATATTAACAAAATTATTATTAGTCGAGATGTTTTATTTGATGAAAATGCTGTTTGGAATTGGGATGAGAAAAAGATTCCAAAGCAGGTTGTTTGACATCATGAAAATGAAGAAAATTCAACAAATGAAGAAGAAAGTGAAATAACCATTCAACTCCATCAAGCAGTACATCTTCACCTCCAAATTCATGCTCGAATTCTCCAAGTTCAACTCTAAAAAAAATGAGGAGTTTGAATGATGTTTATGCAAGATGTAACTTTTACATTATTGAAGAAAAA